AGTTTCTCCTTCCGTATCGTGCCAAACTACAGTAGCCTTATTCGATTATGGACGGCATTATCCAAGTCGCAGTACCGCTGCGACTTGTGATCATCTGTTGAGCGCATTGTCGTGGCCTGTTCTGCGACTGCTTGCCATTTTCATAGCTATCTTTCAGTGATGGCCTTTTTAATATCAGCTAGCTGTGGACGCGCCGCAATTTGACTCGCAGGCAGACTCTGACTGTTCAGAGCTCCTGTCCTCCTGGGTGGACAGATCACTGGTTTAGTCTTTTGAAAACGGAAACTTGGCAAACCGCTTTTCCCCTATGCAGTTCCTATTTTGGTCTTCTATCCCTGGCTCGCCTCTTCGTGAAGTTGTTTAATCACTACTTCTGGTCTAAGTATATCCCTAGAATGTCAAGCTTTGCTCAAACTCTGTTAGCAATCGCATCTCTATGATCGATACATACGTCCAGGTAATTTGGGTTTCGTGGCTGGATCTTCTCCGACTTCCTCGCGGATACCTGTGTCAGAAATGACCCCAGTGATTTGCAATAGCTACGATCTAGTAACCTAATTGGTCGCTTACTCAGAATATTTCATGGACAAGTAATTTTTCTAATGCCACAGTCCTTGTGTCGATTGAAAATGTACTTCGTCAAAGCTGTTCCTGCAGACAGTGTTCCTGCTCCATGTTTTCTTTTGGAGATACTCCTGTCATACGAAGAGGCAATGTGGGGTTCGTTTACCTTCTATTCCTTCAATACGTCGTGTACTCTCTCACTTGATCGGGAATTACGACAGCAGGTTTAATTTAAGCAAAATTTGGACTCGCTCTGTATACCATTATCGTGATAGTCGTGCCCCCAAAGCAGGCCATGCGCCAGGTTCGCCGAATAAACACGAGGAGCAGATCAGACCATGATCGACGTTATGGTGGATGTGTACCTGGGGGGGGGATGGCTCACTTAGGCGCAGGTTAACGCCGCCTCGGTCTCATTGGCACTGGGTCCAGAGGGATGAGGGAGGAGAGAGTGCGCTAGATGCTGCACATGTATGGTATTGCTATAAACTACGTCACTTGCAAGTCGCAGTCTCTTAGGCCGCCCTCCCGTGGAGCACACTTCGGAATCCCTAGTCCAATACTCATTCAGTACTACAGGGTGCCCCACAAAAAACCCCTAAGTTTGTGATTGTTACGGCGG